TTTTTAGTCGGGCCGTGCCCGAGTCGCCTAGCAGTGCCCTGCACGCTTTGCGCCGCGCCTGATGAACACTCCTCCTCCTCATCCTCCTCCTAGTTCCCCTTCTCCTCCCCCTGCTGTCTCTCTCTCTCTCTCTCTCTCTCTTTCCTCATCCCTCTCCTCCCTCCTCATATCTTCTTCCGTTGCGAGAGAGAGAGAGAGAGACAGAGAGAGAGAGAGAAAGAGAGAGAGGAAACGAGAAAGAAAAAGAGAGACAGAGAGAGAGGAGAGCAGAGGTGGATGAGGGGCGACCGCTCTGCAGCACTCGGGATTGCAAGCCCAAAGACCTGGCCGACAGCAAGCTCGCCACCATATCCGGCTCCATGATGGAACCGATCTCGGCGGCGTCCCTCCGCTCCTCGACGGCGACGGCGACAACGACGACGGCGGCGACGGCGGCGGCGAGGCCAATCTCGGCGGCAACCCTCTGCTACTCGGCAGGGGACCCCGGGGAGCTCGCCCTTCCTCCTTCCCATTCGGCGGCGTCCCTCCTCTCCTCGGCAGAGAGCTCGGCGACCCCAGGGAGCTTGCCGAGCTCGCTGACCTATACAGGGAAACAACCCACGGCATAAGCATCGACTTTCGCAGGTCTGCACGGATGTCTCGGGTCAGCCCCGGCACCGCTCCTCCCCACCATAGGATGGCGGTGCCTACGGCACCGCTCCTAGCGTGCTCCAATCGCCTGGGAAGGGGTGCGCAGAGGGGCTCCAGCACCGGACCAAGAAATCCGAGCGGACCTGCGAAAATTGATCTTCAGCCCCGCCCGCCAGACTTGCATACCGCGGCCACCGGTCCCCAGTACGCCTGATAATCCCTCGCGGGCGGCATGTATGACAACAGGCAGAAATACTCCGCATCCAGAACATACGTAAGAATGGATTACCCCAGTGCGACCCTACCTAGAAGTTGGAGCCCCTAGGAAAGCAGCACTAGTTGCTATGCTATGCTGTGCTATGATATGCCATGCTATGCTGCGCTATGCTATGCTATGCTATGATATGCTATGCTATGCTATGCTGCGCTATGCTATGCTATGATATGCTAAGCTATGTTATATCATGCTGCGCTGTGCTATGCTAAGCTATGCTATGCTATGCTATGCTAAGCCAAGCTGCGCTATGCTATGCTATGCTGTGCTATGCTATGCTATGATATGCTATGCTAATGCAGCGCTGCGCTATGCTAAGCTAAGCTAAGCTAACCCTCTAGGCAGAGCCTAGGTAGGGAATTACACCCATGCTACGCTATGCTGTGCTATGATGTGCGCTGCTATGCCAAAGCTCGGCGAAGCTAAGATGAAGGTACTCTAAGCTAAGATCAACCTGAGCTAAGATGAAGCTAAGCTAAGCTAAGATGAAATAAGCCAAGCTAAGATGAGATAAGCAACCTTAAGCTAAGGGGACGCAACTGGGGGAAACGCGGAACGGATCCTGGGGGAACCGCCCGGGGCGTTTTACACTGCCCGGCCCCTTTAAGCTAAGAGAGTAAGAACCCTTCTAGGCAGAGCCTAGGTAGGGAATAATCACAAATGCGTAAACACTCGTGATGGAACTCACTCATACCGCACAGTGTAACGTAGAGGCGACACACAACGCCGACCGCGAACACATCTGCAGCAGCTCCCCAGCGGGATCCGAATCATGATGGATGGGTGTGTGGCACGGCTGCTCCTCCTCGACCTTGCCCAGGTTGCCGAACTGGGACAAGTCCCAGAGCCCGAGCGCGCACGCCTCTAGCGTGATGCCGAGGACAGTGGCATCGGCGCTGTCGCCGAGCCTGGTGTCCTCGAAGCGGCCGATCAGGTTGAAGAAGGCCGTGCCCGACGGCGACGTCAGGAACGCGGCGGGACGCGCCTCGTCCTGGCAGGGAGCCGCAAGACAAGTATCGGGGACGTCCGAGAGACGGAGTCGCAAAACATGTCCCGAGGCACGTGGGCGCCAAGGGAGGGCCAAGGGACGCCCAGTAGCTACGACATCAGGGGAGATATCATGGCCGTGGCCATGGTATCTCCCCCCTTTAGCCCCTTAGTCGTGGCCGCTTCCGAAAACAGTCTCACGTGAGCAAATCCCAATTGAATGTGAAAATTGGTTGGGCTCCTATTTCCTGTGGAGATCCAGAAATCTGCCGACACTGTCGATGTGTGTGAGAGGCTTTTCTGTTCGAGTCGTCGTCGTCGTCGTCGCCGTCACCGCTCCCTCCTGTCCCTGTCCGTGGGCCCTCCTGCTCAAACGTTCCAACCAAAGAGAAATCGAGCAACGCCCTAATTGAAGGGAAACCTCTTCTCTTTGATCATTTTCCCGCGGGGCGGGGGGGGCGCCAGGGTGGGTAGGGGGGGGGTCGCAGGGGGGTAGGAGGGGGTGTCCCGTGGGTTGTGGCTCCCACCCTTTGATGGAGCACCCCTCCCTGGCAGAAGCTTTCCCATTCGATTATTTGCCTCCTAAGCGTCTCTGGCTTCCCCTTCATGCTCGGCGGCACCGGCTATGAGACCCTCACAATTCGTAAACAGCATGAACGGAGATCGGATTTGTGCCGCACAGACAGCACATGCTGGTGCCACTGTGGAACCCTGCTGGGCACGAAACCTGTTAATAGATCACGGCGTATGATGAGCCAAGGTGGGGTGGTCTTTAGCTGCTCCTCATGAATATGGGCAATCCCGCTCTCGGGAAGTCCTGGGTGAAAGACGTTGCCAGCATGCCGTCCAGCAGCGGGGTGGTCTGCCAAGGCGCAACGACCCTGACCACCTCCGGCCCCTCAACGTCGACCGCCTGAGGCTCGTCGGCGCCGACCGCCTTGAAGGGCACCTCTAGTCCGGGACGGGCTCAGAGGGGAAAACATCGAGCTGGAGCCAGCGATACATCGACGATTGATTGGTGATAAGCCCCCGACAGCGAATCCGCACGTGCCTCGGCGGGGTGGGCTATCAGGCCCATCTCGGCGATGAAGGGGCGATTGGGGGTCGATGCATCCCCACCGACCCTATCCTCTCCAGCGTTGCCCCTGACTGATCTTGGTTTTCGGGTCATAACTCGGGTCTCCGGCGGCCGTTCGGGACGATCCAGGCATCCCCAGAACGCTCTCGGCGGGGCGCAGCTGCCAGAAAGCATCCCGAGGCTGGAGAATCTCCAAGAACCAACGCACACGTCCGAAAACCTCGAACCTCGAATCCCCCCTGAGCTTATCCCCCCTGACATTGCCCATGGCACGGCAGGTTCGTGTCGTGACGACCCCTGAGCGTATGCCCCGCGCACGTTGCCCCTGACGCCTGGGATGCTCCCGCGTCGATCGCCTGTGTGCCCTCGGCGCCGGCGCCCGCCTGGACCTTCGCCCTGGCAGCGGCCAGCTCGGCACCTGCGCGCGCGGCCGCCGCGCGCGCCTCGGCCAGCTCCACCGCCGCCTGCGCGGCCTTTGCCGCCTCCTCCAGGGCCTCTCGGGCGTTGCTTAATGGGAGGGGCGCTAAATGGAGTGGGGGAGAAACGTACACCGTCCGTGCCCCTTTTGGGCCCCAGGGGCCCCTGTAAGGCACAAGAGAGGTGCACCTTCTTCACCACCGGGACCCGGAATACATAGGACCCAAATTCCAAGCCCGGGACAGGGGACCCGGGGCCTGGGACCCGGGATGCCCCCCCCCCCGCACGCAACGCCCAATCGAGCCTCCAGCTCGGCGTCGGCGCCGGCGCCGCTCCCGCCGGGGCCGCCCCCAGCGACGGCCGAGGCGGCGACCAACGGCCGGCGGGAGCCGAGGGCGCGCGGCCCCAGCGCCGCGAAGGGCCGGAGGCCGTCGGGGCCGAGGAGCAGCTGGGCGAGCGCTGTGCAGGCGATCGCCCGGCAGGCCCGCGGGGTGGGCCTACGGCTCGGCGCCCGGCGGGCCCGGCGGACGCCAGCGCCCGTGGGCGCGGGTGGCGGGAGGGCGGCCATGCTGGCAGTGGGATGCGGGCACTGTCGGGCCGAGGGCACGACGACAGGAGGGGCACCAGCTGCGCGGGGGGGGGGGGGGGGCGAGGAGAAGGAGAGGGGGACTGGCAGGAAGATGCCGCCTCGAGCCCCTCCTTGCGCGGCGGGCGCTGGTAAGCGGTGTGGACGCTGCGGAGTCTCCTCGTCTCCAAAGCGGGCGTATAGCATGGGATGGGGAGCCAAACAAATGGGAATCGCAAGATTGGGGCAATTACCCCGAAGCCTCCGCCCGACCCCCACAGCTCGATGACCCCGGCTTCCAGTCCACGGCGCACCAAGGGCTCTGCACGCACTTTCCGCCTCCTCGTCCGCCTCCTCCTCCTCCTCCTCCTCCTCCTCCTCCTCCTCCTCCTCCTCCTCCTCCTCCTCCTCCTCCTCCCCTCCTCCTCCTCCTCCTCCTCCACCTCCCCGTCCTCCTTCTCCACCTCCTCCTCCACCTCCTCCACCTCCTCCTCCTTCTCTCCCTCCTTTTCCTCCTACCCCTCCTCCGCGGGAGGATACCGAGGAGGAGAGCCATCGAGGACGACGAGGAGGACGAAGGTGCCCTGGGCGCGGCTGTGCTCCGACCCCCGCTTCAGCGGGGCGCGGGCGGCGCGGGCATCCGAGCCCGCAGGTGCCTCTCGGGCAGGCCCTCGAGCCTCCTCTGCGGCTCCGCGGGCGCCGCGCCGCCGAGCACGGCGCGGGGCGGCGCCGCGCGTCGGAGCCCGCGGCCGACCGAGCCCGCGGCACGGCTGCACCCCCTGCTTGCTTGACTGCTGGCTGCCAGGGTGACCAGCTGCACCCCCCTGTTGCCCGCCCGGCTGCTGCACCCCCTGCGTGTGCCCGACTGGCTGCCAGAACGACCTGCTGCTGGCCCTGCTGCTGGCCCGACTGCTGCACCCCCCGCCTGTTCCCCGGCTGCTGCTGCCGGGCACTGATCGAGAGTCTCGGAGATCCGCCGGCTCCGGGGGATGCATCGGGGCGCCGCGGCCGCTCCAGAGCGCTCCAGAACGCGGAACGCCCTGGAGCGGTGTATTCCCGTCCGGTGCCCGCCCGTGCCCATGCTTGCCCGCCTGCCGCTTCCCCGTCCCCACTTCGCCTCCCCTCTGGCCGCCAACAACTGATCAGCATGAATACAACTCTCCTCCCTCCCTGGATTGTGCGCGAGTGTGTCCCCTTCCCTCCCGCATGTAAGCTGTGTTATTACGCATGCTCGATGTCTCCTGTTGCGGGGGCAGCAAGTTACCGGTTTCGCCTGGCAGCAGCGCCTCAGACTGCGACTCTTTTTCCCTGTACGTGGCATCTTGGACTACCATGGCCTGGGCCTCTCCTGCACCCTGCTCGGTGGCACAACGTTGCACTCCGGCTCAGCGGTGTTCCTCATCCTCTCGGGCGTCGCCCTGGATGCGTGGCGCGTCCTCTCCCGCAGTTTATGGGGCTGGTGTACATGATGCGCCGCTGACGGCACCACCACCAGCTTTTCGCCTCCCGGTAATTACTTCGCCTCTGGGTTCCTGTCCAAGGCGCTCCTTTGCATGCACTTCGCTTTCAGCACCGCCTGATCCCGGCGCTTGGCCCTCTCTTGTCCTTGACGTGAGGCCCCGCCTTCTTTTTTCCTTCCTCTGTTAATTAAAGCTGTGCGCGGCCCGCTTAGCTTCGACCGGAGGAGGCTCGCTCTCGGCCCGCGAATCAAAAAAAAGTTGCGTTGGTTGCGAAAAGCGACCGCAACCACATCGAGGACACACCCTGGATAATGTCTTGCGCATGCCAACATTCCTCAGAACACCGAGACCAGCGTCGTATTGGTTGTGGTCGACGTGGGCGTCCCAGACTGCCAAATCGACCACAACTACAGCCTAAGTGTTCATTTCGAAGTCGGTGGGTTCTCCCCCGAGGGGTCCACCAGAAAGATCCCCTTTAACTGTGGTTGTTGTTCTTTGTCATGCCTGGACCCATTGTTCCTTAAACGGATCGGAGGAACGTCTCTGAGTTGTCTAAATTCGGCGGTAGACAAATCTCTCTTTAGTAAACCTGCCTCCAGTGAAAACAGCCTAGGACCGAAACCGACGGACCCGGACCCGCAAGAATATCGGCCGCCACGCCCTCTCGCGAACTGAAAATAGCCAATGCACGAATCGACGTGTCAAGGCAGGGGGTGTCTATCGACCTCCGACACATGGTGTTACCGCTTCAGCGCTGGTGCAGGATGACGCGTCCTCCCCCCCCCAGCCCAGGGTACGTTTCTGGACCCGAGCGTTTCCTCGCCGTTGCCGCCCCGCCCGGTTTCTCTCCCCCGTCTGCCCCTGGTCCTCCTGCTCCCCCCGCGGATCCTGCTCCTGCTCCTGCTCCCGCTGCTTAGGCTCGCCCTCTATAATGTTACCGACACCAGCTTCCAGAAGCCAGAAGAAGACGGGGCAGGTCCAGTAGCGCAAAAAACTGTCGGCACCATTCGGGCAACCCAGGACGCATTTCGCGGATCCCTGGAACCTATTACTGGTGCACCAGCAGCCCCCGAGAGTCTTGAGGACGGCGGATCTCCAAGAGGGGGGGCGGGAAGCGATCACTTCGCGAACTTTTTCCCAATCGACGGAATCGATGATGCTCTTGCAATCGGGTCTGGCCCCCAATAACCGACGCCGAAAAGTATGCTGAAGTCTGTCAGGATATAGCTGTTCAGTAAAGGCACGAGTTAAGATCCTTTGGGGCTTGTGGGACCTCAGGGGCTTGTCGGGAAACGCGGCTTGAACGTTTTTGAGGGCCTGTAGAGCTCTGGTGCCAGCCTGCGAGAGGTTGGGGTTCAGCAGGAATCCCTCGGAGGCCTCCAGGAGATTAAACGCATACGGGGGGCTCTTCCAGTGAGACGGCCACGGAGTTCGCGCAATCGAGCGGACCAAGGGTAAGTGTTTCTCAGCCTCGCGGAATAGGAGGTCCACTCCCGCGCTCTAAGAGGCAAAGGTACAAATAGCGGCCCGCATGAGGGGCGCGTGACACATCGCCTGTGCACTGCCAAGCTTGGGCCCACCCCATTGCCCAAGATTATGCCAGTCAGCATTAGTCCACGCACGATACTGTAACTTCAGGAGCCGAGGGAAGACGCGATACTCATCATGTTGAAGGCGACGAGGGGGAGGGAGGTACTGAGCAACGTAAGATAGGACAGATAACGCACGCGACCGATATAGGCCAGCCGAGACCTCGGAGGAGCTCCCCAGGGCGCCAATGGAGTGGGCTCTGCTGATGTACTTAGCGATAGGCTTCTTCCAAGGGTCCTCAGGAGTGACGGCAGGGCCGAGGAGCATCCCTAAGTAGCCGAGGGCGTCCTCTATCTTAAAGTCCTTCCACTCAGGTATATTGTCGAGTAGCCAGGCTTTGATATGGAACTTGAGTCTGGCCGTCAAGGGGCCACCAATAAGGGCAATCGTGCATTTAGAGCTCTTGACCTTCAAGTGCGCAATGTGCCTGGCCAACTCGAAAACTTGGAACGCGTGCATCAAATAAGCCAAGCGACGAAGGGCCATGCCTACGTCGTCCGCACAGGCACGAGTGATGCCTCTGTCAGGGGCGTCGATTTTCTCCCTGAAGGCCTGGAGGAAGGGGTCCATGGACAACGCGAACAGAAGGCCAGAGCCTGGGCATCCCTGGATCATACCACTAGTGAAACGAAATAGAAACTTGTAAATATGCCCGATCTGGCCCCAACAAGAGACATCGACGTAGATGAGCTTGAAAAGTCTTTCAAGGCCCTTGGGATCGGCAGCGATGCCAGAACCATCAACATCCACTGCTGGCTGACGGACGGGGAGGCCTGGCCGAAATCGTACCCGGCCAGCGGCGGGCGCAACGAGGGCTCATGCATACTGTAGGTGCGTGCTCGAACATCCAGGTCGATAATGTTGGCACCGAAACTCCTCCCCGCAACAAAACCTTTTTGGATCTCGTCGAGACCCGGGGGCACGGCGCGGCCCAATGCATAACAACAAGCAGCGGTGATCAACTTGTTATCGGCGCTTTTCAGCCCAAGGGGACGGGTGTTCGTAGCACTTCTGATCGCACCATTGCCGTCGTCGTCATCTTCGCCCTTCGGCGCGAACACCCCAAGGACGGCGTTGAAGTCAGCACCAAGTGAAAAGCCTTCGAGCATCCACCTCATACTGTCCGTCAGGATCTCGATTCCCATGGGAGCATTTTCCGCGCCTCGTAGGGTAGGTTATCAGGACCAGGGGCCACGGGGCGAACGCGGTCCAGGATTTCCCGAAGAGCGTGGCTGCTCGGCGGCGGTAACTCTAGCTGCGGCAACTTCGGGGCGTGGCGCTGCAAGAGGTTAGCGGCCTGGTCAGCCAGAAAGGGCTTCGCCGTGAAGACCTCTCGCCAATGGGCACCGAGCTGTTGTAGCATCTGCAAGAGCTCTTGCACTAACGAGCCGTTGTCGAGGCGAACGCCTGCAAGGTGCATGCGCTTGTCAAAACGGGACCACAGCTGCTGCATCTTCGTCAACCTACGCTGCTGCTTTTTGAGTTTGCTGCTCCGGTGGCAATCGGACTCCCGCTCAGCTCGCTGACGGATTTCAACTCGAAAACGCTTAGCGGCTTCATGATGTAGGGCGCTCGACAACACAGAAAACTCCTGCGGCAAACCAAGAGCGACAGTGTGCACCTCATGATGTACATCAAGGTGCTCTCTGGACAGAGGGTGGGCAGAGCTTGACCGCCAGCGCACAGTCGTTCTGGAGGACCGCCCGCGCACAGCTTCTGACAATCAGGAACTTTGCAGTGATGCTGTTCGGCTTATGTACTATGATGCTGTCTCGTGCGTGTCGTGCGGCTTCATGCATCAGCATTTTCAGGCAAGCGTGAATCTGCGGTTGGCTCATGTCGGCCGACGGCGGGGCGATCTCCCAAGCAGATGCAAGAAACTTGGCATGCTCCACTGACTTGAAAATCTCGCGGGGGATCGGGCGCTGATCGGGCGGGGTCCTCTCGCGAACCTGTAAACAGACACAAACGGGGGCATGGTCGGAGATCTCCTTCGCTTGCAGCACTACGGGATCCTGCGGGACCTGGCCTCCAGAAGCATGTTGCGCGATGACTCAACCAGGGGCCGAGGTGAAGATTCTGTCGATAAACGTGAGCATTTTGGTACCAGGATGGAAGTGGGCCGGGGCCCCCAGCTGCATTTCAACCAAAGGTCCGAGAGCGTCTCGCCATTCACGAGGGGCAGGGGCAGGAGGAACGGGAGGAGCCGCCTCAGGGTCAGGAGCGAGAGGCAGTGGAGAAAGATGACTAAAGTTGAAGCCGCCCGCAACGAAGAGGAGCCTCTCATGCGGCCTCTCCTGGCTCAAGGCGTACTCCACTCGTATTTTGTGAGAAACAGCACGTCTCTCCTGCACGTTCAAATCATGATTATGTACGTTGAAGCGGGGTATCCACGAGCGACCATCTTGAGACCTGATTTTCGTGCGAAGAACTCGTCCAGGAAAAATGGGGTCATACGTGACGAGGGGGAGGGGAGATCCAAAAAGCTGTTGCCGAACCTCAGACCTCTGGAAAACGGGAAAAAAGGTAGCGACACCTCCAGTTCTGGAAGAAGCAGGGTGGTCAGGAGGAACGAAGGAACAGGTGAACTGGAAAGGGGAATTAAACGTATGTCTGAAATCTTCTAGATCATGTTGGGTCCCGTGCACTTCCTGGATAGCAGCTATAGCGCCTGACTGCAACAGAGAAGCAAGACATTTCTGCTTTCTCGTGCG